GAAATACCCGATGGTAATGAGTCAAATAAATCGTTTATAATAAAATTAAAAAGAATCGGTGAGATACAGCTCCCTTGTGGGAGGCCGTTCTCTAGATGGTGAGTGTCGGAAACGGCGGATCTGCATCTCACACGAAATGGTCTGATGCCGGAAAGAAACCCAATAAGATAATGTGCCAAATGGCCTTTAAACCCTAACTGATGGAGCTTGAAAATTAGTGCAGGTTTAAAGACCATGTCGTAGGCTCGGCTAATATCCAGGAATACAGCAGTTGTGTCGTGTCGATGTGTAAATGAACGTCTGATGTCAGTTTCAAGTCTGATGACATGGTCTGTTGTGCTACGGTTGTGTCGGAGACCACATTGATTTTTTGTAAGCAGGCAGTCTCGTTCTACAATCCAAGAGATTCGCTTCGCCACCATCCGCTCAAAAAGTTTTCCTAGACAGCTGGTAAGTGCAATGGGACGATAATTTGATGGATCTTTGGTGTCCTTTCCTGGCTTTGCAAGTGGAATAATGATGGTGTCTTTCCAGGCGTCAGGAAAGACATGGGTTGACCACAAATCGTTAAAAACTGCCAATATAAAACGAAGCATATCTTCTGAAAGATTACGAAAAAAAGAATAGTGTAACTGATCATGACCTACTGAGGTGTTGCCGGCGGATTTTATAGCCTTTTGTAGTTCCAGTAATGAAAATGGTAAATTATAGTCTTCGGTGTTATCGGAAACAAAACAATCAGTATGTAAACGAAAACGGGTTTGCGCAGTTTCCACAAATCCTGGTCGGTAATTTCCGGATGAGCTACACTGAGAAAGACTTTCAGCAAGAGCATTGGCGATAAGAGGTGTTGCCGAAATGAGTTGGTTATTAATGCGTAAAGTGGGCAATGAAATAGAGGTGCGTTTTCCGGAAAGTGCTCGAACCAGTCCCCATAGCTGGCTTAAGGGAGTAGCAGCAGTGAACTGCTGGATGTACGCTTGCCAAGAATGACGCTTGGCACTCCTTATAATTCGTCTGGTTCGAGCACGCTCATAATTTCGGGCAAGAAGATGAGGTACATCATGGTGGCGACGAAAGCAGCGGAAAGCACGTTTCCGACGCGCAATAGCGTTCTTAACTTCGGTCGTTCACCATGGTACTGGGATGCGGCGTGGTGGCGTTTTAGTCAGTGGAATTGTCGCGGTTGCTGCAGCATGAATAATATGTGTAATAAGGCCAACACCCTGCTCTGGTGATTCATAACAGTCTCGGTTCACATAACAAAGTTCTTGAAATTTGGCCCAGTCTGCTTTTCGTAAATTCCAGCGGGGTATATGGATCGCAAAACTTCGTCAGCGGTTGCGTCAAAAGTGGTGTAAAGTTTAATTGGAAAATGGTCGCTGTCGTGTATATCTCCCTCAACAGTCCTATCAAAGTATGTTGCTATTGAGGGTGAGCACAGCGACAGGTCGACGGCTGTTTCTGTACCAGTGGGTAAGTGGTGATGAGTATTATTGCCTTTGTTTAACAGGACTGAGTTGTGTGTATCAATAAAATCTTCAACCAAATGTCCTCGGCGATTAACGGCTTGGGCGCCGTTACTACAAGCTGGACTGTGAGCGTTGAGATCGCCGAGGATGAGAAAAGGGTTTTGAAATTGAGCAACGAGTTGGTCAAGTTGCCGTAAGAGCTCCGTATTATTATAATTTGGTGTAATGTATATTGAGCATACATCGATGGTACGACCATGCAGTCGAACTGAACATGCAACAACTTGAAGAGGATGTGTTAAGAGTGAGTGGCGTGTGTGTTAATTTTTGACTGATGTACAGCGCCACCCCACCTTGGCGACGCTCACCGTCCATCGCGTCATAGCGATATAACGAGTAATTCGGCATTTTAAGGTTATATGTGTCGGTGGGGGCGAAACCATGTTTCCTGTACGGCAATGATGATTGGAGTTAGTACGGCAAAAAGTGCTTTCATTTCGGACCATTTTGAAATGAGACCGCGACAATTCCACTGTAAGATGAAAGGCATTTAGTGATAAAGGGATCCATTCCCACCGGTTGGTGGGAATCGCCCGAACGAAACAGATCTAGGCCATCCCATCGCCACCCTCACCGGTGGACGGGACCGGCGGTCTTCGTTCGTGCGTGTTTCGACAGGTGTTGTGGTGGGGGAAGGGGAGGTGATGTTTGTGTGGTAGCCAGAGGGTCCGGGCCGCCGACTGTTCATAGCCGGGGGGCTAGAACGCCGGACGGCCTGACCCGCACGTGAATCACTCACAGCCGGCGGGCTGGAACGCCGGCCGACCTGGGGGCGGGGGTGCACGGGCGCCTGGGCATCCGAACGTCCAGCCAGGGGCGACTCAACGGCATTTTTCGTCTGGGTCTGTGTAGTTGACTCAACTGAAACCGAGGGGCGAAGGTTGAGAAGTTTCAGGGGAGGCAGATGGGTGATAGGGTCGGTCTGTGTTGCACATGTGGCCATCGTGGCTTTTGCTACTTGTACATATGTTTTGCTGGACTGCGACGACATTTTAGATCCAACGGTGCGCCGTGCTTCGGGGTACGACACACCTGTCTTTGCCTTTTCAGAACAAATTTCTTTTTCTTTTTTCCACGTGGGACACTGAGAAGAGTTGGCGGCGTGATAAGCACTTCCACAGCTCAGGCATTTCTGGGGTGATGTGCAGGCAGATCCCTCGTGAGGAGTCTCGCCACACTTCAAGCATCTGGCACTCTGTTTGCAGTACTTGCTGCCGTGTCCGAACCGTTGACATTTAAAACACCTGAGTGGATTTGGAATGAATACTCTTACTTTATAACGAAGGTAACCAGCGGTGAGCGAATCTGGAAGTCGGGTGGTACCAAAGGTGATAACAAGCAGGCTGGTGTCGTGACGCTGACCATCTCTGAAAGTCGTCAGCCGACGGACATGGCAAACTTGCTCATCTCTGAGCTCCGCTAGGATCTCGTCCTCCGTCATGAAGCGGGGTTCAGGCGCGAAGATGGTGCCCTTGCTGGTGTTTCTGGCATGGTGCAGGGAGACTTTTACGTGTTTGCCACAAAATTCAGCTGTTTTGAGTAGGGCCTTGGTTTGTGCGCGAGTTGTTGTTTCAATGATGAGTGATCCGTTTGCTGGTGCTTCAATTTTGAGTTCGCATGGACCGCAGATAGCTTTGATTTGCTTTGATGGCCAAAAAAACGTTGATCTTTCGAAACGACACATTTTCATCACAAGGTTGGACGACAACGTACGATCCGAGAGGATCCAGAATTGGCTCAGAAGGCAGGCGAACACTGGTCATTGTCGAGAGAGGGTCAGCATCAGGGCGAGCAGGCACCGGAGTGGTCAAGGACGAGCGAGGGTCGGAACCGGGGGCGTTGAACGGAGACGGAATCTGCTGTCCACCCACCGCGGTGGAAGTGTGCGTACCAACGGTCATAGCCTGGGTCGCGCGAGGGTCATCAGATGAAGTGGCAGCCAAAGCAGGGCTGGCGGCACTTCCGTCGTCTACATCCAGGGCATTATCAAGGTCAGAGGCCGAGTTCGAGTCCGTTTCAGTATCATCCTTCTTGCGCTTGCTTCGCTTCCCCATATTAGGGGAGCGAGAAGGAAACAACAAAAACTAAGCGGAAAGGTGTGTTTGGAGCTAGTACGAGCGGAAAAAGCGACGAGAACGACGATGCGAAAAAAGGACTCCTTGGCTGAGAGCCGCAAAAGGAGCAAAACCACTTGCTGGGGTCGTGCCAGACGGGTGTGTGGCCGCCCGCCTGCTTGTGTCGCGGCCTGCAGAAGCAGTTGCAACACGTGCATTTATAGCGTGCCGGCCGCTGCCGGTCTGCATGGCCGGCGCGCACGCGCCTGGCTCCGTGCGCCGGGTCGACGAGCGACTACCGACCGACGGCGAGCATTGCTCATCCCGCCGCGCATTGGCACCAGCTCAGCTGACACCTTGCAGGGCATCTTGTTGCCACTTGAGCCGTGCGCGCCTTCTCGGCCGGCCGACGGCCGATGCCATGTCACCAACAGCGCGTGCCGTCAGGCCGGCAACATGCAATGCCAACGCATCACATGGTTGTACAAGCCAACGCCATATATACCACAACGCCTGACAATGACCACGGCCGCCGGCTGTGCATAACAACCTTGCGCACCCCACGGCTAGATGGCTCTGCCGGGCGCGTGGCATTCACACATCGCCTGCGGGCCGGCCAATGGTCGGCTGTCTGCCCTGCTCCAGCGCACGGGCCCGGCAGCCGGAGGCCGTGCGCCCTCGCCGGCCTGGCGGCATTGCTCGGCTGCATGGGCGTCTTCGCCTCCGAAGCGCGGCCGCGCTCTACCACGTGACGCGGCGCGACGCCGCACGCAACTTGCAACAAGTCGACAACACAGCCCGTCAACTGCGCGGGGAGGCGCCACCAGCGCCAGGCCCGCGACGGCCAACCCGACTTTCCTCTTTCGGCGCCCGGAGCGACAGCCATCTAGCGGCCATGCTGGCACTAGCGGCCGCCGGGCCGTTTTCGACAGTAGCGACGCGCGTGCCGGCGTCGGTTGCATGTCCACAGGCGCGGTGCGAGCACGTGTTCTGCCTATCGCCGACGCTGGGCACCTATTGATAGTGACGGTGTGCTGTCACGTGAACGGTGTATGGTCATGTGATCGGCGATTGCCAGTCGGGTGACGTGGTGAACAGCGCACAGGCGCCGTCGGCGCCGGCCACCGCTCCAAGGGCGCAAACCGTCGGCGACCTCCGGTCACGCGCCCGTGTGCCGACGCAACCGCGCACGCGTCTCGACCAACGGAGAAGGCGCACACGACTCAAGTGACAGCAAGATGCCCTGCAAAGTGTCATCTGAGCTGGTGCCAATGCGCGGCGGGGTGAGCACTGCTCGCCGTCGGTCGCTAATCTCTCGTCGACCCGGCGCACGGAACCAGGCGCGTGCGCGCCGGCCTTGCAGACCGGCAGCGGCCGGCACGACACCAAATGCACGTTTTGCAATTGCATATGCATCGCTTCTCGGCCTTTTGGCTAAGACCAAAGTGTAGTATCTGTGAATCTGAGCCAAAGGCCGGGAATTTCGGCGTGATCTAAACACCTTTTTATCGCGCGACTCGGTGTTGGTATTTTTTCTTACGGAGTACTACCGCCACCTCTGGACGCCGCACAGTACTTCCGTGGCCTTGAACACCGTGGCCACGATCGCCCGCGTGGACGTCGGACGTGCCGCTGCAGGTGGACACCGAAGACGCCGGACCAGGTGGACGCCGCCGTGGACGCCGCGTCGCGTGGACGCCGGGGACGCCGCGCCGGGTGGACGCCGGTGGGACCACAGGAGCGCGAGGTAAGTTTTTCGCGCCTACTTCCGGTCTTCTGCCTTCGCCTTTTTTGGTCGGGTTCCCACGTTCCCGATCCAAAATAGGAGTTGGCAGTTGCCGTTGGTTTTGGGCGCGAAATTTGAACTTGCGCCCTGTGTGTTTTCGCCGGTCGCCCACCCCGCGCGTCACCGCGTCATCCCGGCCGTCGACTTCGTGGCGCGCATCTGCCGGCGACCTGATGGCGACGCCAGCGTTCCGGTCGGCCGTGGAGGCAGTGCGTGGCCAGCCGGTGCTGCGAGACGAGGAGCTGGTGCTGCCGTACCCGCTGCCCGCGCACGCGAGGTGCCCCATCGCCGCTGCCGAACGCAGTATAGCGGCACGG